TCTTCCAGGTTTGTGTTCTACTACAAGGCAAGGCACCCTAATTTAAATTCAGAAGACAAAAATTATTTTTTTCATTGAGTATTAGCATAGTCTGATATGGGTTAATTGAGTGAAATCCTTCTAGTTTTTTTAGATAATATATTCCTCAAGATAGGTGCAAACAGCCTTAGCTATCTGATCTTCTTCTATAGGCAAACACTATAAAAATTGTTCAGTCTGTCTCTTGTAGGTGAAATCAGACAGGTTTTGTGGGTTAGATTTCTGTTACATCCAGGTGGGCTTTCTGGTGTGGCTTGTCCTCAATTTTCTTTGTGCAGCTTAGAGAAAAAAGAGTGCTGTTCACTGGGGAAAATGGGAGTTTGCCTTCTCCATTGAGGTTTCTGGAGAGACTGCTGCTGGAAAGGAGTTGGATCATCTTCAATTCATTTCAGCTTTCAATAGTGCTAACTACTTTGCTACTCCATTTGGAAAGATTATAAGCTGCTGTGCTGATTGACTTTGATATTCATTAGAGAACTTTCTGGGCAAACACAATCAGTGAGAGACAAAGGTATAGCAATATCATTTTATTGCTATTAGGAAGAGTTGAACAATGTTGTCTTTCAGTCACTATCTTTTGAGGGTTTGTTACATGGGTAATTCTTTTTGGGAGCCAGCCAAAGAATAGGCCCTGAGCAGGTTATAAAGGGTTAGAGGTTATCCTGAAGTGCTTTTATAATAAATGTAGCTATGTAATCATTTGGTTAACTTGTTATTCAACCAGTGCAGAGCAGTCTTTGGCCTTAAATCCAGCTTAGCATGTTGATACGTTTCGGTTGCATAGTGCTACCAGTGAGATGACTCTCGCTTGACATATTCAGCCATTTGGAAACTTTCATGTTCAGAAACTTACTTTATGTTCAGCAGGAATTTTAGGGTATGCAGTCATTTGAAAAAATAAAATAGGGATTCGGAATTGTAAAAGAAAATAATCTGGTTGACTTCTGGCAAGTGTTTTGGTTTTGGTTATCTTCAGAGTATACACCTCTTGTCAGTATAAATAGGGAGTGCCTGTATAAACATTCTTGTTTCGCCTGTTCCACATAATAGTTTCTTGTATCATATTTCTTTTGACCTCGCTATCTGAAACCAATTACAGGAGATCCATTTGGGCTGCATCTATTTTCATAAGAAGCCCAGGCAGCAGTGTTTTTCTCAGAGATGAATATCAACATCAAATATCCTTCTGAGTGCTTTGTTATTTATGTTTCAGAGAGATTTTGTAGCCTTCAGCTCTCAAGAATGTGTCACGCTGTGCTGTTTATACATTGACGATATTAATGGGCATAGATGTCATTTTTCATTTTAACGTCTCAAATGCAACAGGCTGATAGGTTAAACATTCCTGGTTTTAAAGGAAGGATATGAGTGACATCTGTTTCCTAAAAACACACATATATTTAATTTCTAAAAACCAAAGCAATAAGTTTACCATCTTTAAGTGACAGCTTTCACTTTATTAAAATGGTAAAGCTTTAAAAATAATTTTGAATCATGCTTACATCAAATAGAAGGGTTTGGAATACAAAATGAAAGGAAGTTATATCTCCTAATAATATTGCCAACAAATGGCAAAATCTACCACAATTTATCAACTTTAATAGTGTGAGTTATATGCAATTATTTTAATTTCTGTTCTGCTTATGTTTTAGCGATGCCAAAGCTTCATAGTAAATATTAAGAAGTAGTGTTCCCAATAAATATTTTACTAGAAGACACAGTGAGTTCTGGAAACCATATGCCCAAATTTTCCTTCTATATAGCCATTACTTAAAGCAGTATAATGATTTTCATTTATGTAATTAAAATAATTTCTAATCCTCAGTTCTTTTTATTTCTTTTGTCTACATTGATTTTTTTTTCCTTATAGTTTTACTAATTTACATAATTTAATTAAGGAAAAGTTCCTTCTAAATTTGAAACAAATGTTGTTGGAAACTAGATACAATTTTGACTGCCCTAGAATCTCTTCTTTCTGCACTTAACTTTCAGGTGGGACTTAACATGAATTTGATCTCCCAGATTTAAAAGCATCTGTTATTTTTTGTTCATTACACTGTTTTTAGATCACGAATTATTGTCAGAGAAATTTATAAATGGTGCATGGGATGGGTGTTTACTGGAAGTGTAGATGTTAAACTACGAATTTTGTAATATACTTTCAAGTTGTCAATTCTGTTTGCAAAGATTTAATAGCAGCAAATGAATTTTTAGAACTAATGTTTTATAGTCTCATGATCTTCACTTATCAATAATGTCAGTAATAATGCTTGAAATTAACAGTGTTTCTGGGAGATTGTTTACTGTGTAGCAAAATGTAAAGTTAAGCAGCACACTGGGAGAAAAAAATACCATATGATGACTGCTCTAAGAACAAAGGCTGACAGTGATTTCTCCTTATGAGTTTTAAATCATCTCTGATCTCTTGAAATTGTTTTCTGTTCTTCTTCTATCTCCTGTGTTTACAATAATCTAAACTGCCACAATAAAATCACTGAAGTATTCAGGTAGTCATCATTTATAAGACATTCTGTATTAAAAGATAAGCCTTTACTCCTTTAGAGATATCCCAACCAGCACATATGAATCAAAATAGTTTAAGTAGTAGAGCCTTTTATGCAAGCATATCCTGTTGTGCTGCCTTGCTTTTTCATGAAGTGTGACTCTTTTTGTAGTTAGCTGTAAGAAGTCATACTTTCTTAGGCTCATTCCACGGGAGTATGCTAGCCACAATTTGAAATCATACTCATAGATTAAATCTAAGCTACAGCACACTACAATTCTATAATTTTCAAGTACTGTAAATGTACAGCTTTACTGGATGCTTACTTTCTTGTTTTATTGTATTGATGTGAGGACTTTCCTTCTGAGGAAGATTAGGATTTCTGCAACTGCCAAAAAAAAAAGATTATTGTCTATATGTTTGGGTTTTTTTCCATTTCCTCTTACTCCAGATCTCTTCTGTTATTCTCCTGGCAGTATCACCACAAGTGGTGAGGTTAGTTTTCCTCTACAATTCTCATGAATTCAGGACTGCAGTAGTTCTCTTGCTTCCATTCAAGTTTTCCTTCTGGAGAGCACTAGGGATTAAGGAATAGAAATTTTCTGCAGATTTGTGTTTTTAATTTGTTTTTGCTTAAGCCACTGCAAGAAGTTGGGATCAAATCGTGGTGCCCCTGAAATCAACAGATGCATTTAACTGATCTCAGGCAGGGAAGGGCTGTCCTTTAGGATATGCTCAAGAATTGTGAGTACAGAAGAGATCATGCACCCAGTGGTTCCTTGGTAACAAAATATTTCAACTGCACTTTTAAATATGTTAACTTTTTATTTATTTTTGGCAGAGAGAAGATAGTTCTCTGCGTCTCATTGCTTAGGTTCAGAGGAATGTATACTCTTTGTAAAGCTGACCTGTAATTACTTGAGAATTTGATGAAACAATACAGGGATTGTTGTGGGAATGTCTCCAAATGTTAAAAGTCTGCTCTGCAAACTTTGTACCAGGGTCTTCTATGGGGAGACGAATCAATGTTGTTAGGAGATGGTACTAGTGCATTCACTTTGTTTACTTTGGTTTTCTATGTCTGCCTGCCTTCTCAGAAAACTTGCTTGGAGCCAGACTGTAGCAGCCCTCTCTCTGTCTTTTCATAATTGATCAGGGGATGACTGCCTTCCCTGAGGGTTAAGACGTGGCAACTTTTTCTGTTTGCTCAGCATCTCAATGCAGTAGTTCAAACATTGTTCACACCAGCTGGCAGTGTAATGCCATATGCACATCTTGTCAAAGCAACTGTTGTCATGGATACTAGAAACTATCTTAAAAACCAGCTCATTTGAGTCTAATCAAAATTGTACCTTTCTTTATCAGTTGAGAATCTTTATTATTTTAGGGAACATTGATCAAATGACATTTATTGCAGTACATTCCATCTACAGTAGGTTTTAATAACAGAAATAATAGCGTGATGTATTGTAAGCTGTAACTGCTATTTTTTGAGATGATTTTTCTGAGGGGAAAAAATGAGTTCTGCAGGTAGTTTTAGTGGAAATGTTTTGAATCAGGTTTTTCAGTTGATTTAATTTTGGGTTTTTTTATTTCTAATTAAATACCACTTTATAACACTTGGTATTTTAAAAATAATTTTATAAGGAAAAATAATATATATTAGCATTCTTTGGGTAAGTGGAATGTTTGTTTACATTTCATATGTTTAACTGTATTTGGCTGAGTTGGAATGAAAACGTAAAATAAATGAAAACGTCTTCTATTTTGATTGGGATACTGTCATCCATGTGCCTGATCTGGTTGGTTGAGTAATAATTTCTTTGTTCTCTGATTTTCCTAAGAATGCAAATTAAAACCACTCATTTTTATTTGGCATTAAAACTGCACTCTTTTTTTTTGTCAAAGGAGAGGTTTCTCCTTGAATTGTAAGTACAAAAAGTGTTTTTAATCTTCAATGAATATCCTTATTAATTCACTTTCAAGATAATCTGATGTTGATTTGTCAAATTTAATTACAGCTTCTGGTAACACTTGAAGTCTACTTGCTTTTACTTCAAATTGTAATACGAAAATGCAAATTGAATGATAATTTGCAAGGGAGTGGGCATTTTAGTTGAACACTCAAAGACAAGTTCCTTGTGGAAATGAGGCTATTGATGCAGTTTATGATTTTTCCTCTTCAAGCACTTCAAACAAATTAACTTTATTTCCTGCAGGATTTCATGTACATCCATAAATTCTAGTTAAGTCCTATATATGTACTTTCAGAAATTTTTTTTTAATGTTTTAAGTAAAAAAAAATAACCCTGAAGTCTGAAATCTAGCAAATAAAAATCAAATAGGAGGTGATTTTGTTTGTTCAATTGGACTTTTACCTAACATTAGCAATGAGTAATTTCTTTCTAGGAATTGGTCAAATTTATTTACCTTTTTTTTTTTTTTTTAATACTTTTAGGCACTCCAGGCAGCAAGGCAGCTGCTTTTACAGCAACAGACAAGTGGACTGAAATCTCCTAAGGGCAGTGAGAAACAGAGACCACTGCAGGTTAGTAAAGTCTCCTTGTTTTTGGGACCTTTATCTCAGGGAAGAGTGCCGTGCTGGCTCACACATGAGGGGTGTGTGTCAGTGCCGGTCCTCTAATGCCATGTATGTGCATATTCACATGCTGCAGGTTACAGGCTTCTTGCTGCTGACTTCACAGAAAAAAATCACTATAGGATACAAAAGCCTTTTGTGGCTGTACATGCTTGAAAGGTCTAAGACTAAGTCTGAGTTCAGGAACTGTGGTACATTAATTTTTTATAGACATGTTACAAAATTGGTATGTGATTTTTATATGTACATAGTTTAAATTGTAAAAACATGTTAAGACTAGGAGCAAAACAATATCCATGATAAAAAAAAAGAAAAGCTAAATTCCTCACAGGTGCTATATCTAAGTGACAGAGAAGTGTTCAGAAACTTAGCAACAAAAGTGCATGAAATTGTGAAACTGCTTCTGCCATTTTAGAAAAAAACATATATCATGAAATTTCGTATTAGGATGTTGTTGGGCTTTAGATTGCAAATGGTTAAACAGAAGTTCTACTATTGAAAAGTTATTTTAAATGCATTAGTAAAAACATAAAGTGAGTTTTATTCTTCGAAAATTTTATCAGTGTGGTATTTTTATGAGGTATTAATTAATTTATTCCTAATGCAGAGTTCCATATCAAATTGCATTCTACTGACAAAACTTGTTCTCTCTTGTATATAGACCAAATATGGGTGCTTAACTGCTGAATTACATTTTGTTGCAGACAATTTTATTTTGCTCAGGATATTAAAAAAAGTATAAATCCTACCATTCTCTTCCTCATATCTATTTTTCTGGGTGAGCATTTATTCTCTCAGGACTTCCCCTGTTTTCTGATGGAGTAGGGTGTTTTTATCTCATTTTTAGTTTTTGTCATGCATAATGGAGGACCCCAGGCACTAGAATGTATTTTTTTTCTCCACCAGGGAAATGTTGTGAAATTTGTTCACTTGGGCAATTTCTGAATGTGATTCACATTGTCTCCTTTTCTTTGTGAAACTTGGTGGAGCAATGTTGGACACAGAAAGCAGTTCCACATTCCTGATCATCTCTCTTCAAATATATTTTTAAAGTTTTATTTATTTGCTCAGAACCAAACAAGAATTTAGGAATATGACTAAAGAAAATGGAAAAAAGGAAAACACGACATGACGGAATCCTGACATACTGTAGTTGTAGTCCAGTCCTGGCTGAGGCTGAGTCCTGGGACCCTCTCAACTTTCCAGTCTTCACCCTTGACTTTGTAAATGCAAATTCACATTTGCTTTGTATCAAATACCTTCTGCACTGAAGACACAAAAGAAGAGTAGTCATAAAGGTAGAAGCTTATGAACTATGTGAGTTTTTTAAGTGGATTTAGTGACCTTGAAGAGTTGAACCATGAAAATGATTGGTTTAATGAATATTGTGAAAGTACTTCATTCTGCTAGCTCCTCATTCTAAAAGATAATATGGGTTGTATAAGGAGTGTACAAGATCCGTCCAGCCCTATGTTCTGCCGCTAAATTGATCAACACCATGCAATAAGGAAACTATATGAAACAAGCATAAATAGTGATATTTTCCTAGTATATGTTTTACACATTTTTTTCTTACTTTAACCCTCCACCTTTTAAACCAGCACAGTCCAGGAACTACTGACTTCTCTTTTCACATTCTCTACCCATTCACAAATTTTCTTTTCAAGGTTAAAGAAGACTGGGGTGCACTGTTTCTAGTAGGCATTGGTGAAATGATAGAAAACTATGTTTGGAGGCAAAAGACAGTCATGCACTGAACACAGAGGGTGATGAGATGAAGAGAGGGAGTCTTGTGCTTTCATGCTCTTGAAACACTAACCTTGGCCTGATGCCTTTTAAAGCTAGGGGCTGATGTGTTAGTGCTGTATCACTTGTTTCCCAGGAGGAGTCAGCATCTCATGAGTCCTACTTGAGAGGCAGGAAAAAGAAAATAAAGCAAATATTTTTATTTTCAGAACTGTTGTATGCTCCCTAAAGCCTAGATTATTGCTTATGTTTCCAACTTTTTCTTCCATTATCAATGTGTACACAGTGTCTCTTTTTGGCCTTGAACACTTCATTTGGTTCATTTTTAAAGGAGAGGAAAAATGGAATTTTCTCCCAGACTTTGGTTTTATGTATGAAATGCCATGTAAATTCAGGTATGAACACAAACTGCATTTAAATTTTATATTTTAGTGAAAAGGATGTGTAAAGGTTTTGGACATGAGTCCTATGAGCTTTTCTCTTTCTGTCTCTTACTGTCCATTGTTCATCATGTAGTGGAAATTCACATTCTGATCATCATGTTGCTTGTTTGACCAAATACTGTCATAAAATTATACAGCACTATTATTTTGTTATGCCAAATTTAATGGTAACTTTAGCCAAAATCTTCTAGCAGTAGAAATAGCTAAATTTGTATAAGGTTTATAAGACAAAATTGAGGGTTATAAGGCAAAAATACTTGTACTTGTGTTTGTGATTAAGAAAACAGACTTACCCCAATATTTTAAAATACTCTAAATTAGTGCATAGCTAATTTCCTCCATTTCAGAGCAATTTACTAATCTGGCAACTGTTGATATTTTAGAATAGATTTATAAATCTAGTAAAAATGCAATAAAACCTTTAAAACTAGCTCACACATCTGCAAGTAAATGTGGCTATTAAGTAATAGCCTTTCCATGCATCTCTTGTGCTCTGTATTTTGATGGAAACTATTCTATTATCCCATGAGCCAAAGAGGGGAAAAACTAGTATTTATTTTAGTGGCCATCTTTTCTGGGGGGGAAGTAGCATATGGTGTTTTATGTATGTTCCCTGTTATTTCATAATGTGTCAAGTATTTTAGTGACTTACAGCACCTACTAGCTAATCAGCAAGTTGAAAGCTGATTGAAGAAACCTTCAAATTTATGTCCTCAGCTTTGCAAAAAGAGGTTGTTGGGTAAGTCATCATGTTCTACTGTGCTTTACTGAGGGGATGTCTTTAGGGGAACTCCTGAAATTTTCCTAGAATAATTTGAGTGTCTTTTGTATCTTCATTAAAAGCCTTTACAAATGTACCACTAACTATGTGATCGATTGTAAAAGTGTAGAATTTTTTTGTTTTAGTTTCTAATGCAAAAGTTACCTTTAACTAGTAGTTATCCTATATTTTCAGGGACAGGAGGCTTATATTTAGATTGCGAGTTAACAGAATACCTGCAAAAATTACAGTTTTAGATAGACGCTTGTCTTGATCTACTATTACTTTGATTTACATTTGTCTGGGTTTCACACTGCAGATGGCATAACCATTAGCATGTCTTATGTAAAACAGAAGAAGAAAAACATCCCTTTTGACAAGCTTGAGTACCAGTTGTGGTAGTGATTTTACTTTCATGTATAGATATCCGAATAAATGTATTTGAAACATGTTTATATATGCCATTCATTACACTGATGTACCAATTGAATGGATCCAATCAGTACATACATTGATTAATGACATATTGCAAAATAGCTATGGAGGGTTTGTGATGAGAGTTGAGGGTAATGTTAACCTGCATATTATGAGATAATAGCATTTACTATTTTACTGTGCATCCAGTAAAATATTGCTCTAGTAAAGTTAAGATTTTTGTAGTACCATTTTTTGTTTCAGAATATTTTTTTTATCTGTAGAATTTGTTATAATGGTAATTAACGGTGAAGGTTACTAATTGCTTTCAAGGATTTCTCTCCCTATCACCAAATTTCCATAGTAGGCATAACAGGGAAAAATGTCACCATGGCACTTAGAACATGTAGTTTGTTTTCCTAGGGCAGAAAGTCATTGTCCTTAGAGCCACTGAAGAACCTTGTATCATTTAGCTTGAGTTTTAATACTGGGGGCTTTATTTTCATATTACATTTACAGTCATGAGTGAGACTTGGGGTTCTTCAAGAACTGTGAGAGCACAAGCATAACCCAAAGGTAAATGCTGTCAATTTTCTGCCATTGGTGGGTATTCGTGTACAGCATTGCAATTATTTCCCTTCCAGGTAGGCTTCCTCTGTGCTTAGACTGATCTGTCCATGATACACATACTGTTGTTGTCTGCTAAGCACGGTGATTTGCACAGTTGTAATTCTATTTGTTTGCTAGGTGTTTCTATTCCAGTAAATGACTCTAAAGGAGTAGTTTATTTTCATAGAGTAGGATTGTGAACATTATATCAATTAGAATAAATAGATAATTATCTTCAGCCCTGTAGTTTAATATATCTACAATGAATTGGTTAGTTGTTTTTTCCTTCAGGCTTGGAGATTTGTTGTTTCAACATCAGTACTAATGCATTCTGTCAGAGGATGGCATGTCATGAAATCATGACTCCTGGAATCAAAGGGTTAAGCTCAATGTGTACCAAGCCAGTTGTATAAATATCATGCTGTATGGAGTGTTGAGTTGTTATGGTAAGCTTTGTTTACTTAGCATAAGCACTTCACTGAAGTGTAATAATTTGATAAAATTTGGGAAAAGTATACACTTAAGTTTAATTACTTAATTTTTATTTCATTGGTGCATAACATCAGAAGAACCACTTTTTATTAAAGACACTCAAAATGCAAAAATTTAGCATGAAAATTTAGCATGAAAAGATATTCATAGTCTCTTTTAGCCTAGTCTCCTTGCTTTACTCTCTCCTAGTTTGGTCATCTCCCTTTGGATCTTCATATGGGCCTGAGTTTAAAATTCATTGCACATAATAAATAAGCAAACATATCATTAATATTGTAACCTTTAGTTACTTTTTTAAACATATATAAGGAGTTGATGAGAGATAAGAAATAGGGAATGTGGGAAAAAAGAAGCAAACCCCACTGCTTTTAAATTATATCCTCTGATTTAATGCACTTTGACTTCAACCATGCATGCTTAATGTCAGTCAAAAAGTGCCGTTTCAAAAACAGAAAAAAACTTGATATGGTTGTAACTTAGAGAGT